GTATGACCTGCTGCATGGCCTTTCAGGGGTTCAGGCATCCACCACTTCAGGCGTGAACAGCGTCGGCGTCCTCTGCAACGTTGGGTTGATATCGAACCTCAAGGATGCGTGGAGTGCCACTATCGCTCAACTTGAGGGTGTGCAGGTCAGGCATAAGTTCCTTCCCTTCTCAACGATGTTAATTTTCCTGCCGTGCATAGTTGATGTGAAGCCCCTTTTCCACTTCAGTGAACTTTCTATTCTCTCAGGAGCAGATTACCAAGTCTGTGGAGAGTTCTAAGTTATGGTCGTTGCCGAAGTCGTTGAAGAGGAAACAGGCCGCTAACTCGCAGTCTGCTTGTTGCAGCACACGCTCAGGCGAAAATGCGGTGCTCAGTTAGCATACCGGCCTTCAGGCCCATGGAAACATGTATCGGTAAAGTTGACTGCGGAGGGGAGAGATCGGATATTTCAGAAAGTCGCATTAGCTAAGTATTCTCTGATTCGAGCAACGCTTGCGTCGTCGGGTGGCGAAATATGCTCATCCGTTATTACTCAAATGAAATCGCAACGATGCGTAATAATAAAGACTCATCGGGCAACCAACTGCATCTGAAAGGGGATAGGCATCGACAAGTCAAAATGCAGGGAGCAGAAATAAACATCGCAAAGGACTCGACACTAGCGCGTGTCTCCGTCTATTGGATTAATATTTGACGCAGTCTCTGCATTTCTTCACAGCGTGGAAGGCACGAAAAGGAACCAATAAACTTCTTCTGCATAGAGCCCCGTTGCAGGGCACCGAATGCAGCGTAGTCTTCAGCCTCTCTCCATTCAGTTAACAGCCAGGATATGCAATCTACCGCTATATATATATGACCATATTCTTTCTCAAGTCCAGCATTACGCTTTCCTAAGGCCACTGATCCTCCCATCACCATGAAACAAATGGTAGAACTGCATGGCGACTGCGAAGGGAGATCCTGCTCTGCGCTCAGCGCACGAATGAGCAGAATTTGTCAGTTAGCGTTCTCAGTAACAACCGCAGAAGGCCTACCACCCCCGTCTACAACGTGAAGCACGCCAAACCTGGCGTTGCTTTGCGGACCCTGCATTATAGCGGCCACTGCTTTCCCTGTTTATGAGTTCGACAACTGCGGAGCAAGGCACCGCCTCATGCAGGCTCTGGGTTAACAGTGGTGTAGGTAGTTGGCTGGACAACAATGTTTCTGTTTTTTAGTTCAAGTGTTCTTAAGCGTCTCGAACGGTTTTGTCTTGCAGTGCACGCATCAGCACTTGCAGTTGACCTGCATGTGCAGAAAAAAAACAAAGCGCTTGCATCCCCAGTTAGGGTAGAAGTTCCCGCTTGCGCGATATATCTAAACTATCCGGCCACAAAATCGCAGCCACTGGGCCAACTCGGCTTCGATGCGCTGAGAATTGCTGTTGTGCTCTTGGCTAGGTGGTGTTTGCCGCCGCTGTTCCGCAGCAGTTTGCACTGCATCGGCGAAGGCCTCCCACAACGCTTTCTGCCGAATACCGGCCAGCATAATATCTCGGCCTAGACGACAGAGTTCCTCGCAACTCGCCCCAGCTGCTGTTGTAGAAAAAGCAGTCAACACGTATTCCGCGCAGCTCTTCTGCCCCAGCCGTTCTAATCCGGCGAAACCCTAGACAAGCAAACGGAGATAACAAAAACGGAAAAGCAGTTGATTAGGTACAAGCTCACCATTAGTCCTGAAATGTCATTCACTAGATAGCAACAGAGACAGTAGCAGCACTCACGACGCTCTTGACAGCAGCAGCAGCGGCAGCAGTGAAATAAACTCGAATGCAACTGACGAGTGCAAGGTCGAAAGGAGTACAGGGTAACCGCGAGCAGACAGCCCGATGGATTTGAGCTTTGGCCAACCGCAGCACAACATCTCTGTCTCTGTGCAACATTTTCATATCATCGTATTTGCTGGTGAAGCAATCAAGCGAGCCACGGCCACCGTTATCTTCGCTTATCTGCGGCGCCGGAATCTTTACGGCTGCAGAAACGCAGGCCAGCGGCCAAGCCAGCGCAACGATCTCGCTGGCGTCTCCTTCCTCGAAGACCCGCCTTGACGTCTTCTGCATTTTCCTCAAATACCGNCAACGATCTCGCTGGCGTCTCCTTCCTCGAAGACCCGCCTTGACGTCTTCTGCATTTTCCTCAAATACCGCTTTGTTGCAGTCAACAGCTCGCGTACTGTTGCCATATCGATACCTAAAGGCTCCGCAGTGGCCCCCAACAGCAGAAACAGACGCCGTAGCTGCGCGAATGTCAAGGAGTTCCACTGGGGCTCTACACATTGCAGTAACGCTTCCTGTAGCTCTCGGGCAGCAGCCCCAGCGCACGTGTCCTCGAACAAACCCGCCTCCTTCATGGCGAGCAGCACGGTTGCACCGTCACCAAAGTGAACTCTGAAATCTACTTCCCCCGTCTCTGTTGTCAAAGCCCTTTCAAGAGAAGGTCCCCCCTCACCCATGAGCAGCGGGCTGGCGCCTCTTCGAGCTGCAGCTCGGAAGGCTGTGCTAAGCCTCCTGGCCACTGCTGCTGCGAGGGGTCCCGTCAGCTCGCCGGCTCTAGAAAAGGCAACCACAACCAATGCCGCCGTGGACAATGAT